GATCCTTTGTCCACCTCTACTTTTTTGCTAGAGTAGAGCCCAAATCTATACTATTAGTGTGCTCTTGTTTTAGAGAGTGTTAAATTACTGGAATCTTATATTACTTTGAAGATTATTGTGATTATTTAGGAAAATGTATTTGGTTAGTTGAAATAAATGGGTAGTTATGTTATATTAATATGTTTGGTTAGGAGGAATAAATTGGTGGGTATGTTATTTAAATTACTAAATTGTCCTTTTTTAAAATATTAATATAATATTATTTTTATTATTAATTTTTGAATAATTTCTTTTTAACTCCCAACATTTCAGATTTAGCTAAAACACCCCTACTTATATAAAACTTTAATTTATAACAAAATCACCCGCACCACTTTATTGTCGCTTGCTGTCACAGCAAACCACTGTTGGAAGTCGTCGGAAGTTGCCTGGAGTTGTCGTGAGTAGCCCATCGTGACTGGGAGGCTCCAATATGGTTGTTTCTGGCCATATTGATGGCCGCAAACACCCTAATCAGAGTAGATTTGGCTGGGAATGGCCAGATCTATTCTGGCCATTTCTGGCTAGATCGATGGATCATCGATCTGGCGGTGGTAGCAAGCGGCGGCAAGTGGGTGGGGATGGTGGCTTGGGTGGGGTACAATTTGTTTTGAATTTAATGGTAATTTTGTCTAAAAAGTTAATTAATTGGGGTTAGATAGTAAAAGGTGGATTAATGTAAATTAATTTAAAAATAAGGGTATTATTGTTCAAAATTTGTATTAATAAGGGTTAGAATCGTAACAAAATTAAGATTACCCTAGTAATCTTACAATACATAAGAAAATAGAGGTTATCAGATTACCTCAAACATTACCAATAGTAACTATTATTGGTATTGAAAGATTTATTGAAATTTTATATTACTTGACAACCAAACGTGGTAATCAAGTAATATAAGATGACATAATCCTAATAATCTGATATATCCCCCAACCAAATGCCCCTTTAGAGTTATCTTGGTAACAAACTCATTTAGAGCCTAATCATTATTGTCACAATAATTGTCGCATCTTACATTGCTAGCGAATGAAAAAGTCTAAGCCAGTTTATAAACCTCAAGGTGAGATTGAGTCTCCTCTATCAATTAGTGGATGTGTTTTGGGCAAGGATAGTTGCATGAAGTCCAAAAACAAATCTGTGCAGGCTAGGTCCAAAGCAGACAATATCTACTTGGTTGGGTTTGGATTATTACAATTAAAGGATTTGAGTCCAAATTCAACTGAGTAGATATTGTCTGTTTTGGGTCTAACTTGCACGGTTTTGCTTTTCGGTTTCACACAAGTGTCTTTCACCCAAAACACATTTACTTTGGGACCTAAGTCTTATAAACTAGCCATAATTTTCATTTCCTAGGGATGTGTGGTATGACAATAACCAACTTACTTTGAACAACTATTGAACACACTTTTGAGTACACCTTCTCCATTATTTATAATGTTCTTCACTCCTACACTAAAGTTCTAGGTATGAGTAGGGATGAAATGGAGTCGAGTATCTAGTAAATGAAACTCGACTCGATCGCTACGGTACCGAGTTCGAGTTCGAGCCTGATAAATCAAGTTCAAATTCTAATTCGATACTCGAAATTGGAAATCGAGTTCTTATAATCGAGTTTTTTTCGAGTTTTAATTGAGTTCAAGTTTGAACTCGATTTCAAGCTCATCTAACATGGGTAGATTTGCAAATTCTATAACTTTTAAATTACATATGACCCCTATTACTTTAAAAACTATCAACTTAACCATCGAGTTTGGAAATACTCGCGAGCATATCGAGTCGAGTTCTACTGTGATTGAGCTTGACTCGATTAACTACTCGAACTCGAACTCGATTCGATTAACTACTCGAACTTGAACTCGACTCGACTAATGCTAGTCGAGTTTGAGTAGCTCACAAGCAGCTCGACTCGATTTTCACCCCTAGGTATGAGTTCTTTGTTAATGTATATTTTTGAAAGATCCAAGATCCTACAAGGTTGTAACATGGATTTCCATTGACTTTGAAAAGTTGTGAACTTGACTCTTAAAACTCAAAGATGTGAAGTATCCTCTGGCGAAGTTATATTTTCTAGGTTCAACAGCAATAGGAGTTTGAATAATGGAGGGAAGCATTGTTGCGAAAGTAAAAAGAAAATTTGATTTGCAAAGGTAAATGTTTGTTCCTCTAATGTTTTGATGCGAGAGCAAAAAGAAAAAAAAATTAATTATTATTATGTTGACTTTTGTTTTGTCCCATATAGGAGAGATATGTTTTAACTTTTCACTTAGAAGACTATAAATAAAGTCTTATTTTGTCTTTTGTAATCATCCTTAAATATTATTAAATATATCTTGAGTTAAACATTTGATTTCTCTTACTTTTTGGGGTTATAGTTATCCTTGGTTTAGCTAACGAAGGTGGCTTTTTGGCTAATCTTGCCATAATGGGGTTATACTCCTTCAAAATGTCCCTTTGAAGTATTATATGTCAAACGTCTTCTTAGCCCTTTAGATCTTCTGCCATTGCCCACTACTCGTGAATGTAGTGCTTTTGTTGATAGACGTGCCAAACAGATAAAGAAGTTTTATGAAGAGGTTCAAGAGAAGATTCTTTGTCAGAATGTTAAGGATCAATGGCAAGCCAACAAGCATAAAAGACCGGCTAAATTCAAGGAAGGAGATTTAGTGTGGATTCATCTAAGGAAGGAACGTTTTCTTAAGTCGCATACGAAGTTGTCTCCTCGAGTTGACAGACCATTCCGAATTTAAATACCTAAAGAAGAAACTAAAGCTCTGATATCAAGCTGACGTTGGGATGTCAAGAGAAACCCCAATCTTGGCAAGGTTGGAAACCTCACTATAGATGTCAATCGTGGTGAGATTAGAATAAGCTCCACTATGACTAGATTATCCAAAATGCCATATTGGTTGACTAAGCCAAGAATAACTATAACCTCAAAGAGGAAGTGAAAGCAAATGCGCTTAACTCAAGATATATTTAATAATATTTAGGGATGATTACAAAGGATAAAGTAAGACTTTATTTATAGTCTTCTAAGTAAAAAGTTAAATCATATCTCTTCCATGTGGGAAACAACAAAAATCAACATAATAATAATTAATTTTTTTTCTCTTCCAACCCCAGAAGAATGATGCGAGAGCAAAAAGAAAAAAAAATTAATTATTATTATGTTGACTTTTGTTTTATCCCACATGAGAGATATATGCTTTAACTTTTCACTTAGAAGGCTATAAATAAAGTCTTACTTTATCTTTTGTAATTATCTCTAAATATTATTAAATATATCTTAAGTTAAACATTTGCTTTCATTTTCTCTTTGATGTTATAGTTATCCTTGGCTTAGTCAACCAAGGTGGCCTTTTGACTAATCTCGCCATAGTGGAGTTTATTCTAATCTCATCACGATTGATATCCCTAATAGAGTTTCCAATCTCGCTAAGATTGGGGTTTTCTCGTGATATCCCGGTGTCATGTTTTGTCATGTGTTAAGCATTAAAAGTCACTTCAGCAAGAATAGAGTTATAAGACACTATCTTTTTGTACTTTGGAAGCTTTTGTTTATCAGTGATAGAATGATTCTTGTTTCAGATTTTCTCATTTTAGTCTTGAACCTGCTCAACTTTTGTCCATTATTTGTGCCAGGGTATTATCATCAAGAAGACACTTTTTTTGAAAGGACACAAGTTTCATATGTAAATTTCTGAAAAAGGAAAAAATCAATGCTTCTCCCACTTGTATTTCATATTTTCTACTGAAAAGGTTTTCAAAATGTTAGTTTCTGAATTTATTTACCAATTATTTACTTGTTGTTAGTTTCTGAATTTATTTACCAATTATTTACTTGTTGTCTGTTGTTCTCAACATGATTTCACTAGTGAAATTAGAATATGATTTGTATCTTAGAAATTCTGTCTTTCATTTGCAGAGGTTGGATTGGGTCTCATTGGTTTTGGCATCTTTTTCACATTTCTTGCTGTAATTCTTTTCTTTGATAAGGGATTGCTTGCTCTAGGGAATGTAAGGCACTCTCTCTCTAACTACGAATTTTTGTAATTTAGATCATTGGAAAAGCCTATAAAACTAACTAACTATAAATCTATAACCAGATATTTTGGCTAACAGGGGTGGCCCTTTTGCTTGGTTGGCAGTCTACTTGGAAGCTCTTTACTAGTAACTACAAGGTATCACATTGGCAGTTTTCATTCTAAATCCATTGGGATAGTTAATTATTTTCTTCTTTTTTGCTTTTCCTTTCAAGGTAGAAACTCATTTAAGTTAGATCTTTGTAAAAGAGTTGAGGCGTAAAGCAAAACCTAAGGTGACACAAGAACTAATTATGTAGTGTTGGAAAACAACTCTCGCGGACAGCTACCTCCTTGCCTTTACAAATGAATATACCACCCTGGACAAGTGCAATGTCCAGTGGCAAACTAAGCATTTCTGTTGGCTACCCTTGGTAAAAACCTAGTAGCCCAGACTATCTAGCTAATATCAGAACCATCTTTGTATCTTGTAACCATGGGTATTAATTTTGCTGTCCTTAAGACATATAGGCGCCAAGGGATCCTAGAGCCAAGTGACATTTCTAAGAGGGCATGCTGAGGAATGTTAATTCAAGCACATTACCGAATTAAAAAGTAATATGCACATTAGTAGAAGCTAAACAAGAGAACTCTTGTATTTTGAGTATAAATATTAGTTGGCTAAACAAGGGAGCACAATGCTTCCAAAATTATGCTTCTGTCCTGCTTCACTGTAACAGAACTTGCCCCACCCAAATTGGATTCTCTTTTCATTTCTGTGAAGTCTTTGGCATTGCCGACCCACTGAAGAGAGTGTTATTACGAAGTAACTCATTGTTCGTGGGCAAGATATTGATAGTGGTTGTCTAAGTTGGTTACAGTAGCTGCCACATTATTCTTTTACAGTGGATCAGGCCTCATTTCTACCTTTGATCTGCATATTTGGTGTTAGACACCAAAAGTTAATGCCTGAGAATGGTGTCATTTAAAAGTTAGACGCATTTGGTGATGGAGACGTGCTATAGTTCATTGTTGTTCCTTCTTCTGCAGGGTACTGGCTGCTTTGTTCTTGGGCTCTTTTTCTTATTTGTACGATGGCCACTAGTTGGAATGATCTTGGAAATCTATGGCTGCATCGCTCTCTTTGGGTTAGTTCCTTTCTCGGTCATAAACATTGAACTGGATTAATGTGCTTGTGCTGCTAAAAAAGTTTATTACTTCGATGTCTTGTTGCAGTGGGTTTTGGCCAACTGTGAAGGTTTTCCTCTTCCAGATTCCAGTTGTTGGATGGATCATACAGTATCCTCTCATGGTATGTTACATTTGTTATCTCTCAGCCAAAAACTTAAAGCTTCTAGGTTGTGCCTCGATAGTAATATATAAGCTCTAACACACCTTTTGAAGTGCAATGCATTCAGATCTAATACAATCACGAGAATACAGACATCTTATTACAACATAGAACCCGTTGATTGACCTACTCTGGCACTGAGTTAAGTTACTGCACAAAAATGTTTAATTTTTTAAACTGGTTAGATAGTGGTTCAACAATTAATGATTGATTTATGTTTGTTTCTTGAAACAAGAAAAAAATTACATCACGCCCTATTTGGCTACTGTTTGAAGCCTTGATGTTTCATATATATGCACATATGTTGACTAACTCAGCAAAGACGAACATATGTGTCCATGCAGACAGAAAATTAGTTGAGAAAAGTACCTAAGACTTTCAATTGCGGAAGATGCATATGTATTTTATGTTGGTTGCTCTGCCTCCTGGTGAGGACGAGTGTTTGAGAATGCAAAATATTTCACCAGCTAATAGCTTGTTTCTACTTTTAATTTCGGTTGCTATAGAAGTATTTTCCCTTTTAAAAACTTATTTAAAAGAATGAAAAAGAGGTATAATCAGTTTTTGTCATGTCATAATCTAGAAAATCAGTTGAAGTTGATTTCAGCTAATGGTTATCGAAATTTTCATAGAAATTTTCACCATCTTTTATTCATTTATTTAATGATATTTCTTCATTGCAACTGCCAATGAACTCATCATATTATTATTGTTGTTGTCGTTGTACCATGAAACATCTGTATGCTTAGGTATCACATCACAAAATTCTGGTTATAGTTCAAGTACTTATACTATGCTATTTGTGAAAACATCAGTTTCTTAGTCGTCTGAATGGAGCCTAAAATAGGACACCTGCCGGCATTTGACATTTTGCTGATCAAGTGTTCAAGTGTATTCTCCTGTAAAGAACACGGTGATTACGAACATACCAAGTTCTTTTCTTGCAGTTGAACAATTTATCCTCGTATTATTGAGGTTCGCCACCATAACTGATGTTATCGACGAGAATTATTGTTTTGCTTTGCATGTCAGTTAAAATGGGCATCCTTAGATGGAAGGGATTACCCTGCAAAAGATTACAAGAACTACAAAATGAAGTTCCCAAGTAATCCATGTGCTCTTTTAAGGTAAGATTTGCAGATGTTATATCCAGATAGATATGAGCTTGGTGGTTGTTGGGTTGAATGGCAGTTCTCCTATTGACTTTAATGCCATTTTTTTTTTTTAAGGATTTGTTGGCCTTGATTTTAATTTTGCTGCCAAATTTATACTATCAACTATACTATATTAACCATACTATATAAAAGTTGGGACACAATTTGGGAATATTTCCGAACCCCTAAACTAAATGGATATTGTACAAACTGTGACTAATTGACCGGATTTGCACAGCGAAAAAACGTAATATGTAAAACGAATCGATCAATTACATGAACCAAGATCTGAGTACAGATTTTAACATTTTCATGCATAAACTGAAACGTAAAATAAAACTGTATTAAAAACAAATCTATACAAGGATTTAGTTTATACTGACGTTTGGAAGCTTCTCTGAATATCTCTGACTTCGGACACAAACACTGTTCATTAGAATTGTTCACTGACTATTGTTCATAAGATATTATTCACTGGTTACTGTTCACTGGATACTGTTTATCGACATTGTTCACGTGATTCTTCGCTAATTGATACAATGTAGGATCGAATTCATGGGAGTCCTCACGAAGATAATCTGTAGAACCCTTGATTATTTTGCTAGAACAAACAAGGACTTCAAGAATCAAGAAAGAAGAACAAAAAAAATTTCTTTCTTCACACAAGAGTGTAACGTGAGACAGAGAGAGATAAGGTGGCTAGGGTTTTTGATTGAATGAATATCTCACATTGTTTTAATTTTAAGTTGCACTTATATAGTGTAACAATTAAAACCCTATTCCATCTAGGAATAGTCATGGGCTCTAACCCTAGTCACCCTTGCAACCAAACACACTCTTTATGGTATTTTAATTAATTAATTGTTATTATAATTAAAATCAATTAATATATAATAATCAATTAACATTTAATTAATAATGATAATTTATTTAAATATATATATAGACATATTTAAATATAATTTCACTAATTTAATTTTAATATTCAAATTAAATACAAGCAACAACCTTAGCAAATTTAATTACACTGTAAGATTATCAAAATACCATTTCGTCATGAAAGACGAAAATACCCTTCTCACAAATTGATTCTTAAATTATTTTCTAAGTGTGTGACCCGTAGGCTCCTCATCATATCGGCAGTGTGTAGTATCGTGATTAATACCAATTAATCGTCTCGTTACATAAAGACCAAAATTGGCCTCTAGCAAGACATCATGACCACTCGATAGATTCAGATTTAGCGAAACGACAGCCTGTCAACGGTATGGTTACCGTGCAATCAAATCCTTTCATCATCTGTTATCTCATCGAGACTGAGGTACAGAAATAGTGTCAGCCTCAGATATCCTCGACATGTTTGTATTCAGTTAATGGACTAATGACCGGAATAATAAATTGGATTGAGCATCAACTCAATCCCACTGTGGCCACAGATTTAGTGTCATTGCCATTTACTGAATTACCCAGTGAGATAACTTCTCCCGTACCTAGAAGTGATGAATCATTTGTCGATCTACCATAGTCTCGATACATTTCTCAATGTAGCCAATCACTACCGTATTGATAGCTTTGAATAGAACTACGTTGGGCTAGTGTCAAACTACACCAATTGGTGCACAAGGCGCTCCGGTGATCTTAAGTCTAAGGATTACATGCACCACCATCCGTTAGAGGATTTATTCCATAGACACTAGGGTTACCATCCATATGGAATCCTCTGGTGGGTCTGTCTAGTGAACTTGCCTTTAGCAAGCACTCATGCGTTGCACTAGGTTGTCGGCAAACAACCTTGACAAATGAGATCAGTCACTGTCTTTCGACATGATCGTTCAACACTATGATAGTCTTACTGTATTATCTGTGTCTTTGGTCAGAATAAACTGGGGCTATGGACGTTTCTAGAATGACCACCATATGTGATCATAAGGTTCTCGCTATCAAAATTTGAAACACTTGATACCCTTATCATGGTTCTACCATCCTAAGGACATATATCATTACATATAACTATGATTACACGATATAAAAGAATATGTCTTTTATTGATAAATAAACATTTATTACAGAGTCAATTTTTACAATAATAGATTAGCTCTAGGGCACCTACTCCAACACAAACCCCTTTGGGGTTTTGGAAATGAGTCTCGACTCTCTACTGTTAGTCAAACATTAAGGCTTTTTTGTTAAGTTAACCACATTGGGAACAAAATAGTAATTGTTTATGGATAACATTATTAAACTTAAACCTAATACCGTTTTAGGGTCCTAGATAAGATGATAAGAATCAGAAATCGTTTTCGTCACTTGTTCTTAAGATAAGAGGATGAAATTTTTTTAGTTATTTCTTCTCACAATATGAGACACATTTTTGTCTTCCATTTTATAATTAGGCGATGAAACACATTTCATTACCTATAATTGTGGTGTTTGAAATAAACCCAAATGAAACGCATTTCATTACCAATAATTGTGGTATTTGAAATAAACCGAAAAAAAAAGCAACAAAATGTACCTCATCACCTATACTAATGAAATAAGCCCGAGAAAAATGTTACATTAGTAAAAGAAGCGATGAAATATTTTTAATCTCCTGTTCTCACAATACATAAGTGACAAAAGTTCTTATCACCAAATCATATGTATCAGTGACAACAATAACTTGTTGGTAATGAATTAGTATCCTACGATACGCGTTACGTATCTTACGATACGATTTAATATGGGTCGCCAATGATACGTATCAGAGAGTGTATCATAAACCTTTCGATACATTGATATGTATCTATTCGTATCCTTAAAAATATCGATACAAATTGATACGACTTTATTAATTTGGGCCAAAGGCCTAAAAAAATTTCGAGTCAGATTCGGGTCATGGTTGTTAGTATCCTACGATACCTAATACGTATCATACGATACGATTCGATACAGGTCACCAACGATACGTATCAGAGAGTGTATCCTAAACCATTCGATACGTTGATATGTATCCTACGATACGATACGTGTCCGTTCGTATCCTTAAAAATATCGATATAAATCGATACGACTTTACTAATTTGGGCCCAAAAGTCCACAAAAAAATTTCGGGTGTGAAACCGGGTCAACCAACCTGATTCACTAAAACCTGTCCAATTTACCTATTTTGCATGAAGAAAGTGAAAGAGGAATATGTATTGCCCATTTTACATGATAATAATAATATAAGTGGAGATATAGATATTGACATTGATCTTGGAATTTTGTGATTAATTTTGATTATGTAATACCGTAATTTAAAGTCAATAATACCACAAAATTCTTTAATTAATCTTGGGGATTATATTAATTTTTAGAAAATTTTGATTATTTTATTAATTTTTTTGAAAAAGGCGTATCTTACGATACGATACAATACGTGATACACGATTCAAAAAATTAGGTTTTCGATATACGATACGATACACGATTTGATAACCATGATTCGGGTTACCCAACCTGGTTCACTAAAACCTACCAAAATTTACCCATTTTGTATGGAGAAAGTGAAGAGGAACATGTGTTACCCATTTTGCATGATAATAATAATACAAGTGGAGATATAGATATTGATATTGATCTTGGAAATGATATGAATGGTTGAGAGGAAATGAGATTCTTAATTTTGTGATTAATTTTGATTACGTAATATCATAATTTAAAGCCAATAATATCACAAAATTCTTTAATGAGTCTTTGGAATGATATTAATTTTTAGAAAATTTTTATTATTTTATTAATTAAAAAAAAAAGACGTATCCTATGATACGATACGATACGCGATACACGATTCAAAAAATTAGGTTTCGATATACGATACGATACACGATTTGACAACCATGGTTTTGGCCATGACTCTATACTAGGCCTTTGCTGATAAAAGTGATATTGTTGACTATTTCTTCATTTTCCAAGAGATGAGCGATCCTCCAAGCTTTATATAGAAACCAGTGAGTGACTTCCTCATCATTGGACATGTGCCCCAATCCAAATTGCAGTTTGTTGTGATGTCCAAATTCCTATACTAAGGTAAGAGGAGTCATAGGCAAGGACAACCCTTCAAGTATTTTAGTATCTTCATTGCTGCATCCATATGAGATTGCTTTGACCCATGCATGAACTGAATGAGAATGTACACCACATAACTGATATTCGGTTGTGTCATGTTGAGATAGATAAGTCGACCCACAAGTCTTTGATAATGTGAAGGATCCTTCAATGGTGGATCTATCTTTGAAGATTGCGTCTCACTATCGTATTCCTGAGTGGTGAGATTGGTGTTTTGTTTAATAGGAATGACACTTGGTTTACATGCTAATAACCCAAATCCGATACGAGCTCTAGCACATATTTGCATTGACTAAGAGATATTCCCACTAGAGATCTTGCAATTTTGGCTCTCCCAAATCTTTTATATGTAAATGCCTATTGAGATGCTCTTTTAAAGTACTGATAGTTGCTTCATCATTTCCTGTGATTAGGATGTCATCGACATGAATAATGAGGGCAATGAAGGATTTACCTCTACGCCAAGAGAAAAGTGCATAATCATGCTTGGACTGAGCAAAACCTTTGCATGTGAGTGCTTTTGTAATTTTGCATTCCATTGATGAGATGCCAGTTTTAAATC